CTTCATCAATGCCCTGACCTTCGCCACACCATCCCAATTACCAGCAGCAGCATATATATTGGATAGCAGAACATAAGTTCCTGAAGTAGCAAGATCCTGTTGCACCAGGAACTCCATCATTTTCTCTGCGAGCCTTATGTTCCCATGAATCCTACAAGCAGACAGTAATGTTCCCCATAAAATAGGATCGGAATCAATCTTCATACTTTTGACAAATTCATAAGCTTCTTCTAGCTGTCCAGCTCGTCCAAGAAGACTCGCCATGCAACCATAGTGCTCAATCTTTGGCTTAATTCGATACTTCTCCATTAAGTGAAAATAATCCCACCCTTCAGCGACCAATCCAGCATTAGCACAAGCACTTAAAATGCCAATAAATGTTATATCAGTAGGGTGGAGACCCAACTTACACATCTCATTGAACAGCTGCAAAGTTTCAAGGCTAAATCCGTGCATTGCATATCCTACAATCATCGAATTCCATGTTACGACATCCTTATCTCTCATCTGATCAAACACCATTCTTGCATCCTCTAAACTCCCCGACTTGCTATACATGTCAATCAAAGCAGTACCTACATGTTTATTTAATTGAATTCTGTTACTTTTCACATAAGCATGAATCCACCGACCTGATTCAAGTACTCCCACTTGCGCACAAGCAGAAAGAGCAGCCACCACAGTTAATTCGTTAGGTTTTACTTTTGACATTAACATCCGCCTAAAAAGAACCAAAGCTTCATTAGGCCTACCATGTTGGCTATACCCATCAATCATGGCATTCCAACAAACAACATCCTTCTCCTCCATCCCATCAAACAACACTCTTGCCTCTTGCACATGCCCATTCTTTGCATATCCGGTAATCATTGTTGTCAATGACACCAAAGACCTTTCGAGCATTGTGTCAAAGAGTTTGCAAGCTGAAACAATGTCACCGCCTCTTGCATAGACATCCACAAGAGCAGTTCGAACATAAGTGTCAGATTCATACCCGAGTTTTAGGGCTTGAGAATGAAGGGCTTTTCCTGATTCAAGAGGGGAAGCTTTTAGGATGGAAGAAAATGTAAATGCATTAGGCTCAATATTTTGAGTTAGCATTTGGATATATAAGACAAAGGCTTGTTCATAGAGATCATTGATCACATGACTATGGATAATGGCACTGTAAGAGAACACAGTTGGATGAGTGTGCTTAAAGACAGAAACAGAATGTTTGAGGTGTCCAAGAGAAGAGTATGATTTTTGGAGCTTAAAGTTCAAGATTGGGTCACTCTCCAGGCTTTGACGAATAAGAAATGCATGAATCTGTAGAAGCTGCCTAATGCTTTTGGATTTGTCTATCAAGAATTTAAGTTTGTCAGGTGATGGCCTATGGCTGTACTTGGTGGTAGTACTAGTAGCGTATAGTGGTGGGTTGGAGAAAAGGGAAGTTCCAGACATGATTTCAGCCATTGCATCGTCAAAGCTTTGGTTGGGAACTCTTTCAAGACTGTAATTTGTCCAAGACCCAGGGAGCACTAAATATGCAACTGAGAGGACGACAGGACGCAAAAGGCATTTGATCAAGCACCTGCCAATCACCAATAATAAGAATAAAATTACAAGGAAGACTCAAAACAGCTGCTAGAAAGTTGGAAACAATGATAAAACAGGGGAATTATGTTGTCATACAGTATTCCAAACACAATCAATCACACTCATCCCCCCTCCACCCCATAAAATTAAAAAGGAAAAGCTAGACTCCTCTCAACACTGAACCTGCAAGAATGAAATACGCCCAGTAGTTCTTATCAGTACAATCCCACGAAAAAGTAGGAAAAGGAAGCCTCAAACTAAGCGGAAAAAAAAAGGTGGCTACTTTTACTGCTAAGCTTGTTCAATCAAAAGAAAAGATTTTAGCAAACTTAAGTTAGTACCAATCCTTAAAACAAAATACCTACTAGTAGAATGTTTCTTTATCCGTCAACATGCCTTATTTAAAGCAAAAGGTTTCAACAACAACAACAACAACAACAACAACAACGGTAGAGTGTACACACGCCTTACCCCTACCTTGTAAAATCAGAAAGGTTATTTCCCATAAACCATCGGCTAAAGAGAAATACTAAACACCTCAAATAATAAACAATATATATATATGAAGTTATCTAAAACAAAATCGCTTTACTAGTGTTATCCCCCAAGAAGTAAAGAAGAGGAAAATGTAGCTAAAGGCATTCAGAGTCTAACCTTTGTAGTTCAACTCTAAGGTCTCCAGAGTAGACATGAGGAACCCATTTAGAAACAATTTAACACCATAAAATTTGACAATTCTTTCAACAGTGTGGACTCTCTTTCGCTACTTGGAAGAGTAATTGCAGTTCCACTGCACCCAAGAGACGGAAAGCAAGGGACAGAGTGTCAACTGCTAATCCTAACGATTAACAGGGAGTACTATTTGTGTTTCCTGGAGCTCATGAACGACGTCGTAGCTGTACTATTTCCGTCCCCCCTTCGAAATATATACTCCACTCCCCAAATCCTTTTGGATTTTGAACTTTTTCTTTATGTTGAAATATTCCATTTTTCTTCTAAATAATTTTAATTTTTTTTTTTTGGTAAATATAGACGTGAATAGTGCTAATGTTTTGAAAGATTTATAACTTACTGCTCCTTCTAAAATACTTTTAGAGCCCGTTTGGCCAAGGCCTCAAGCTGTCAAAATCTACTTATTTTGAAAAGTACTTTTTTCAGAATTACTTTTTTCAAAAAAAAAAATAGTTTGTGTTTGGCCAATTCATTTAAGAAGTATTTTTTGTAACATTTGATAAACAAATTGTGTTTGACCAATCTTTCTAAAAAGTGCTTTTGAGTGTCAAATTACCAAATAGAATAGTATAAAGGTCTTATAATCAAAATACATCATTCAGTATGAATTAGAAGTATATTTCATAAATTACTATATATTGATAATCCACCATGAAATAATAAATAAAGTCACTCACATATGATAACATTTCTTAATAATATCATCTCTACTTCTATCACACAACGTCTCTATATTAGTAGAAGTCTTGCTTTGCATTTCTAAAGGAATACTAGAAGGCACATCTCCTTCCTCAATCTCTGCAGTAATGTCTTTATTAGCATACAAGTTAAATTTCTTATCGACAGAGGAATATTGTCGGATGAAATTATATATAGCCATGGTAGTTGTAACTAGATAATTCTGAGTGTCAAACTTGAAAGATGTCATTAAGCGTAAAATAGAAATGTAATTTTAAATATATATAAAAAAATTATTTTTGTAAAAATAATAATTAAGTATGGTTTAATTCAAATTCAAAAAGAGTACCTAATTATTAACAATACATAATGTATAATTTTGTTTTTAAAAAAAATTCAAAAAGAAATTAATTATTACCTAACCTAACTAACTTTGTACTAAATTACCAAATGGCCTATTGTGATGTTGTCACTTGGCTTAATGTGGATGATTTTTCTTCTTCTTTTAATAATAATATGGATAGATTATACGATGCTATTGTAAATTTACTACCTATTTGTAGGTAATTTTCACAAATTAGATTTGATAAATATTTTAAAGATTCGGAAACTAATAGCATATAGCAGAATAAATTATAAATGATTATTTATAGGAAGAGAATTGATAATCCAAAGAAAGGTATGGATAATTTGCTTTAGTGTGAAAAAAGAAAAAGATAAATTGGAAAGTTACAAGACATTACACAACAAAAAATCAAAAACAAGAAAAGTTAATAAATAATTTGGAAAGTTACAATATGATTCATATATGATATCTTTAATTTGAAAAGAATGGTAAAAACTAGAAACAAAAATGAAAAGAAAAAACTTAAATCAATAAGGGATAATTTGGACAATATATATTTATGGTGAGGATAGTTTTGTCTTGAATAAATTAATTTTTTATTTCTGCTTCTGCTTTTTAGAAAAAGCTAAAATTTTCTGCTTGTTCCCAAAAGCAGAAAAACTGCTTCTGTTGTTGCCAAAAGTACTTTTCCGTCTTGGAAAATAGCTTAAATTTTTTGAAAAGTACTTTTTTAAGAAAAAAATGTTTTGGCCTCCAAGAAGCTTGGCCAAACAGGCTCTTAGAAATTAACCTCTACCTCTAGTCTGTAAACTAGGAGCAGGAGGGAAGAGAATATAAGTCGAGGAATACAGAAGAAAAATTGGAGAACATCGTACTATTGTTAAATTGCAGCACTTGGAAAAACACTTTTAGTCCTTATTTAACATAGTATTCCCTTTGTTCCAGTTTATGTGAACCTATTTTCTTTTTGCTCCGTTCTAAAAAGAATGACTCCTTTCTAAATTTGGTAACAATTTAGCTTAAACTTACAATTCTACCCTTAATTAGAAGCTTTTATAACCACACAAATACTCGGAAACCCTTTTTGCTTTATTTAGGACCACAAATTCCAAAAGTCTTTATTTTTTCTTAAACTCTGTGTCCAGTCAAACAGGTTCACATAAATTGGAATGGAAGGAGTAATACTTTTAGATTAAGTGATTATTGGATGTATCTTTTGTTTTTTGAAAACCTTGTTTTTAATGTTTCGTACCGTAAGCTTATACAGATTCTAATATTATTTTCAGAAACTCCACTTAAATCAAGATCAAGATCAAACCCAAACGAGATGTTACAACTTTTTTGGTTGAAAGAGAAAAGGGTGAAACAAAATCCACAGTAATTGCTTAGGAAAGAAAGATTATAGACGAATAAGACACTCTCATCCTTTATCTTTTCCTGTTCACTTCTCTATTTGGAAACTAAGGGATGGGAGAGAATAAATAGTACTAGTACAATTTTCTCTTTTCTTTACCTTCCTTTCTCTCCTTCACAAACAAAGCATAGATATGAAACCAAGCATGAAACTACTAAACAATTAACCAACACTCTCCCAGCTGGCTTCTGAAGCAAGTCCAAGAAGAGATAAATCGCTATTTACATGATTTTCTCATTAACAGATGAAACATAGAGAGAAAAGCCACTAGTTTGATGTACAAAATAGAGTATAACCAATACACAGTGTGGCGCAAGTTGCTTGCACTTAAAAACATTAGAGGAATGAATTGAACTGAAAATATTGGAGGAGCATTGTTCAGACGTCACAAGCATAACAGGACAAATATATCAACCTACAGAACCCAAAATCACATTAACAGCCTAAACATGAAATAAAAAAAAAAGTACAAACTAAAGAAGGCTCCTCATATTCAAATCAAATTTACAGAGCTACCAGAATTGACAAAATCAATAACCAACTTCAGTTCTCCTGGCTTCTGTTATCGGAAAGCACCGTTTCTTTTGAAAAATTGAACTTGCTAGTTGCACCAAAGATATCAGCAAGTTGCAACACAGTCTTTTGACAGGCAGCACTCGTTGGCAGGACAGCATCTGGAAGGCAAGGGATGCATTCAGGGAGAAATTCTATCTTGTTGAAGGTTGGAGCGTAGAGTGCCAGCGCCGTCCGACAGAATATGAATCTGCATTATTCAGAGTGTTTTTCCGTTCAAAGTTTTTGCTATGGACTCTTAAGTTATGTTTCCATAAGAAACAGAAAAGTATATAGGGTATAGCTCCTTTGAGAAATATAAATTAGAATACTAGCTTGCCAGGTTTACTCAACCCCCATATGTACCTAGCAAGACTGTATGCAGGGAATATGACTACATCTGTATTTTGGGTCTGCTATATGCTTTTTACCTTTTTACTATCTACACTCAAATGCCTATCTGCAAACAGTTTTGTTTCCTTCCTTCTACTGCAAACTTCAGCTTTCTATGCAACTAACCTTCCTGCCCAGAAAAATATCTGCTGTTATTTCTGACAATAACACCAGATTTTTACATTCCCACACGGACTCTTCAAGTGACCATGCCCTTGTCCACACTTTTGAGACACATCAGTAAACACTTAATCGAAATAAAAAAGAGTTCACATCGAACCCCCATGCCCACCACCTAACCCCCAAAAAGCCGAAAGAAATACAATTTCCCAAATCAACTTAACTGATGTTCTGAACCAACACCATTTTGGAACAGAAAATTTGATGTATGAGCGATTCATCAGTTTCTCCAAGTGGATTATTAGATTTTGCCCTTATACATGTTTCAATGTTAAATCAACTACTGCCAACAAGCAGCCTATGGATACACACAAGGTACTTCAAAGGAGATTATCTTTAACCTACTGCTCTTACGTTAAAATCAAGATTTGAAATTGATTTGGGACCTTTATTGGACTGTGATAGCCACCTATGGATTTCTAATCAGAAAACAGATTCAAGCTCCCATATCCAAACAGTCGAGGGTTACTTCAAACTTGATTAATAATATGAGTACTGAAGAAAATGTTGGGGAACAGTAGAAACCGACCTTAAAATGAGCCGCCGTAAAAATGGATCTCCAAGAGTTTGAGACCAAATAGGATTAAGATTGTCTGATGCTGCCAGTAACAAACCCCACTCATTTAATGATGAAGAAAGAAGTTTCTCAGCCTTACCATACATATCCTGAAAGCAATCCATACTTGAGCAAACCAAGCACGTATAAAAGAACAGATAATATGAAGTTGAGGTTTAAGCTAACACACCATGTCAATGTCAGAAACCATGAAACCAAGCATCAAAATGAAAGCCGGTAAAGGAACTGTAAGAAAACTGGTGAATGAGCTTCCACTTGGCTGACGAGAAGAATCCATCGCAGATATAGGCAGTGAAATTGTGGCAGAGAGTAGCATGGCAACTGGTTCTCCCTTCTCTGATCCACTTAAGGCCTGTTCACATTCATGCAAAATAATATTATTCATGCGACTGCAATAAATAAAAGTAAAAGGTTCATTCCCAAAATAATTTAGCCAATGATCAACAATAAACTAAAAACCAGTATTCTTAGACATTTACATTAACTTCCCAGGATATCTCACATATGTGTTCTGTGGCATCTAAATAACTTCAGACATATCTATTTGAAAGCGTACAAGGATATCAAGAAACAACGAGATAGCTCCCACTAAGAAAACAGAATGAGCTAATGAAGTATGTTTTGTAAAAAAAAAAAAAAAAAAAAAGAGCAGGCTGGAAAAAAGAAAAGTGCAACCTAAATATTGTCCTAGCTTGAAATGACACTAGGAGAAACTCTAATATACCATCAGAGAGCTAGACTGATACTATTAAAATACTTAACTACGAAGATTAAGGTATCATAGTTTGTGAAGAAGATTTGTGGAGAAGAAAGGTTAAAGGGGTGGCATGCAAGCTTGATTTAGAAAAGGCATACGATCATGTCAATTGGCACTGCCTTTTTAATCTATTGAGATTGATGAATTTTGGAGAAAAATGGATTGGATTCTGCATTTCAACAGTGAAGTTCTCCATTCTAATAAATGGTGACCCTCAAGGCTACTTCAACTCTCAGAGAGGACTCAGGCAAGGAGACCCACTTTCTACATATCTTTTTGTTTTGGTTATGGAAATGCTGACACAATGTTGAGAAAAGGAGAAAACTTTGGATGGTTAAAGGGCCTTAAGATAGGCAGAACTGGTGAGGAAGGAATGATGCTTAATCATATCCTGTATAACCCTCAGGGGTTGGCCTGGTGGCAATTGACTTGAGCAATGGGGTTTGCTCCCTTTCAAGGTCTCAAGTTCGAAACCCACTGGGTGCAAACAATTTCTGAGGGCCATCGGACTGGGTAAAACCTGAATTAACCGTAGTGCACTTGCGGGAAATTCCTTGCCGAGGGTCTGTGCACCCCCGGGATTAGTCGGGGCTCGAAGAAACTCGGACACCCGGTGCAAATCAAAAAAAAAAATATCCTGTATGCTGATGATTCCCTTCTATTTTGTGAAGCTAATAGAAACCAGATTCTATACTTGAGAGGGATTTTTCTTTGCTTTGAGGCAGTGTCTGGCCTGAAAATTAAACTTGCTAAGAGTAATATATTTAGCAATAATGTTGATGAATGTATTGAAGAGATGGCAGGAATCCTCGGATGCAGAGTTGAAAATTTTCCCACTACCTATTTGGGGCTTCCATTAGGGGTGAATAGAAATGATAAAAGCATTTGGCAAGGAGTTATTGACAGATGTAACAAAAAGCTATCTCCTTGGAGAAAGCAATACTTATCATTGGGGGCAGACTAACCTTAATTAATAGTGTATTGAATGGGGTTCCAACTTACACTATGTCTTTATTTAGTATGCCTGCATTAGTAGAAAAGAAATTGGACTCCATTAGAAGACAATTCTTATGGGATGGGAATGAAAACAAAAGGAAAACACACCTGGTCAAGTGGCAAGTGGTTACTGGAGATAAGAAAACAGGAGGTTTGGGAGTGAGAAATCTAAAACTACACAATAAAAGCCTTGCTTTTCATCAAGTGGCTGTGGAGATATAGCAGGGGAAATGAGGAAGTTTGGCAAAAACTGTTAGATGCTATCTATGGTAAAAGGGAGGGATGGAGACAATATCCCACACAACTAAAATCATGTGGAAGAATCTGGAAGAAAATAAGTGAAGGGTGGGATGATTTCTTACGATGTACAAGGTTAGAGGTTGGTAATGGTGCTAGAAACAAACTATGGCTGGATGTTTGGTATGGAGGTGAAAGTTTCAAAAACAGATTTCCAGATCTCTTTAGCTGAGCTGTGAACAAACAGGGATACATTACTGAGCTTAGTCCAGATTCAGGCTGGCATATTATATTTAGAAGGAACCTGAATGACTGGGAATTGGATAGTTTCTGCCAAATGCTTCAAAATTTGAACACATGCCAAATTGAAGTGGACAAAGCAGACAGTTTAATTTGGGTTAATAGCAGGGATAAACTATTCTCAGCAAACAATTGCTACAAAATGCAATTACAACAGAATAGCTTGGAGATTCCCAATTGGCCATGGAAAATGATTTGGAAAACCAAGGCACCTGTGAAAGCAGCTTGTTTTGGATGGATAGCAGCCAGGGAGGCTTGTTTAACTCAGAGTAATTTGCAAAGGAGAGGTTTTCCCATGTGCAGCAGGTGCTATCTCTGTAATATGGAACAGGAAATAGTGGAGCATCTATTTTTATGTTGCAGGTTTTCAAGGCAATGCTGGGAACTTTTCCTTAACATCATGGGAATATCATTGGTTATACCACAGAAGATCGGTAGTCTTATGGAAGTTTGGCAATCTCAGAGAATTAGAACAAATTTAAAGCATATGGAGGACCATTCTAAACTGTATATTATGGACTGTTTGGCTGGAAAGAAACAAGGCATGCTTTGAGGGGAAGAGGCTGCAGATTGATAAAGTCAAAAACAAATGTATCAAGAACTTATATTATTGGTGTTATAGCAGTACTTTAGACAGGATGGACCAATATTTGGACTTTTTGTATCTTATAGGGGGGAATATGTAATGTGAGTGGTGGGAGTATTGCTGATTTGCTTTGTACTTGTTTTTGTACCATCTTGGTACCTTTTTAATAAAAGACTTTACTTATCAAAAAAAAAAAAGGTATCATAGTTTAAACTCCATGATGTTGAGGGACACAATGATAATCGCATAAATCAAGATACTAAAACTACAGAAACTTACCCAGTAGCAAATGCAGAATAATACATCATAGTCACTACTGGATTATATCATATTTCAAAAACCTTAGGTAGTCCAGTTATCTAAATACAAGCTACAGTAGTTATTCCCGTATAATGATTCCATTGCAACCAAATAAAGCTTCCAAAATCTTCTCTCATCAGTCTGCTTATGTCTGTCAAACCATTACTAATACTCCACCTACTACTTTCTTTTAGTGACCGAAATCCGCTGTTTCAACTTCGCAAGTCAGGGATAATGGACCATACCCTCTACGGCTCTACCCTACTCCACTTAAACAATCTTGTTGCAACAACCAGGTTTTTAAATCGTGAAGTGCGCCGACCATACATCCTGCACTATACTACCTTTGCCAATGAACCAAATCCCTGGGAACTCTATGTAGCACATTTAACAATCGTCAGTCATGTTTGTCACAAGCTCCGTATTGGAAGTATGCACCCAAATGGAGCCCCTCCTCACTTTTATGCAGGGGAGCTGCATATCTAAAAACCAACACCACCTAATTACCTCAAGGCACCTTAAGATTTGCTTCTTAAATCAACCCAATATCATACATTAAGTTTTATGTAATCCCAAACAAGCTAATGTCATGACATGCAAACTAATTATTTTGTTAGCTGATGTTGGAAAATAATTGAAATAGGTTAAAGAGTTTTGCCTCTCTCAGAAATTCTCTTGCAACATGCATAAAACGTCAAGAAAAGAGGCCATTTCTGACCCTAAAACAGTTCATAAGCTTTAAATCATGAACTTAGATCTGACATTTCAGCAGTTTTAAATGCCAATAAATCTAAGTCGAACCAAACCCTTGTAGGTTATTTGTATTTGTGATAGTTTAAAATCTGCAACGCAAGTATCTTCCTGTGTCAGTCCCTCTATTAACATGCAATCATCAGGATGCTTACCGTGAATGCTTTACTGCCGTCACTGTCAATGACCAGAAAAAGTGGTCTTCTAGTGAATGGCAACAAGTCACATGGATAAATCCCATTCACACCTAAAAAGGAAAATAAAATTTCAGGATTAGTTTTATACAGACAAAAGATGACATTAATTTCAATTCAGGAAAAGAAATGGTTAAAAATAGCTTCTTGTGTGATTCACAGTAGAGATATTGATCAGCATTTATACTGCTGAGGGTAAAAACGAAATACCAGCCACATGACAGAAATGGAGTGTAACAAATTTACTTCAACTAGTTAGATAGAAGAATTGATGCTGCCATCAACCTTTGAGTCCACATGTCGCGAAAAAATATCAATAAATAACTCCGATTTTTTAATATGGTACAGTCGACCCCACAAACTCCCCTACTCAAGAGCCCAACAGTGCCTTTACCCAGTTTGCTCCACTTAGAGAAGTGTGAGCTTCATACTATAACGCAAAATGGTCCCAAAGAGAAGTGGTTGGTTCTTTGGATCTCAAGTTTGAGGAATCGACTAATATCAACAGAATTGTGTATTGGATACTGAAACTAGTTTTATTCCATAAACAGATATTGGAATTATTATTGTTTTGACAATGTATAATTGACATACTGAAACTAATAATTTTAATTGCAATTTGATATTTATAGAACTAAATTCATTACGCTTGGTGTCTTTTTTAAATTTAACATAAACCGAGGGCTTCACTTTGATGTAGCCTGAATTTCACTTCACTCTTTTCACTTACCACTTTTTTGAGCTTTCTCTTTTAAAGGCATGGCTACTAACTTTGACTTCATCGTGAAATCAAGTTGATATTACCCTCTTATGTTGAAGGTATAGGTGAAGTCAATCCCCTAACGTTATCTCTCATAGTGTTATCCCAAATCTTTGCATCACTTATTCTTGCCTCCAATTATCTTTACATGCAATCCTTATTTTTTTAGTCCTTAGTTTCTTTTTAGCTGTTTTTTAGTCAAAATACCCTTATCCAATATCTCCAACAACATATAATATAATCACTTTATTTGCTAATCCTCAACCAACAATACTTTATCCATTAATTTATAACTTGAAAAGATTAGCTCCGTAGTGTTAGTCATATCACTTTCCTCTGAAATTATGAAAATGCTTTTAGAGTCACTTATACACAATGTGACAAGACCTATATGCTATTCTACCAGCTGATACAGCAACGAGAGTATGGATACAGAATTGTTTTGCGCCTCAAAGCTGTTTGTGTATGGATAATTGGATTTACATAATGGAGAAAGTGTTCAATACCTCCAGTTCCACGAGAACCAATGTATACGCAACTACTCTGCTCACTTAAGCAATCCTCCCTGGTAGAAGTGGTATTTGCAATTTCAGTATCAGAGATCAGCGAAGATGTAGAGGTGGCTTCTAAGTAAACAGCACGAGACATAAAGCTCCTCCCTGCATCATGGGATGGAGAAGAAAAAAAGTTCTGAGAGCTTCCTGTCAAGAAATTTAAATTGTTAACAGGAGCAGTTTAAATTGAAAAATCCAGTTTTGAAAGAATAACTCAGTCAACATATGAGAGCTTTACACCTGCTACTACCTGCAGCGGACAAATATAGTAAAAGAACTCCATCATGAGATAGCTCCTCGCAGATTGTCGCCAAAACCTGCCAACAAATGGCAAAGTTAATTTAAGGGAGAATAGGCAAAGAGAATGCAATGATGAGGAAAATACAGATAATCCAGTAGCTAAAAATCTCCATATCCAAGGGAGGCCATCTTTAGAGAAGACACTAAAAGGATATTCAATAACTTCCATCTAGCGCAAATAATTTTAGTTGCAATAAAGCTCTGGGTGATATTAATAGAACATATGCTACCAAGAAAGTAAAGCTAATTTCCTAAAAAATAAGCTGTTACCTTTCCCATCTCACATTTGTGCCAAAAGCCCAAAACAAATTTCAGGTTTTCACATTACAACAACAACTGTATCTCAAGTTCAAGCTTTCACATCCACCAAGTTAGTTCAGATTGTACTGATAAGATATTGAAAAATGTAATAGATGATAAAATTGTAGTTTCAGTGAAGCTCAGAGAAGTCATAAGAGTATATTGATCAATGTCAGATGAGAGCACAGAATCTACAATTTGCTTTTTCGACAAACATAAATGCTGAACAAATACTAGGAAAGTGCAACTACTCACTGCTAAAAAATTTGTAACAGACGGGCGATATAAGATGGTCTTGCGAGGGTTAGGAGGCAGAGTAGGATCAGATATATCTTGTGAATAATTAACACGACTGGGTCCAGGAGCCCCATTCTGGCCAATACCAGTTCCAGCCCCACTTGGAGGAATCCCACCCGTCTGATAAAATGACCCACTAGGTTCCCACTCCAGACATTGTAGCATCCGGAAAGCGTCAAGAGTTAGTTCTGAATATTTAACCTGATCAACGCATTGAAAGAGAAACGAGCGAATATTAACACAGTTGATCAAGTATGAAAGTAGGATAATCAATGTTCATTAGTAAGCTGCATAATAAACCCAGTCACTTACAATTGGAATAGAAGGTAGACATGTCGAGGGAAGAAAGACTCACCTCATTGGGATGGTAACTGCACAGCAGCGTATCTCGTAATCTTAGCTTTCTCTTTGCTTCAACAACCTGCGGTAGGCAATCTGGATGAAGATCCAATACGACACTATATCTCAATGGCCTGGTATTCATAAAAGCTGAATCAGCTTTTAGAAACTTAACTATTTCCTGAACCACCAGCTTCCATTCTTTAAAATCAGTTTCCTGGAAATAAGACCATGTAAAGGTCATTCATCTTTTTAAAGATCATTTGTTGAATTTTTTCTTAGCCTATCACAACATCCAATGAGCAATGACCAAGTCAAGTGAGTGGAAGCAGGTCATACCATACAAAGGGCACTTATATTGTTCACCCAACCAAATGAAAATTCCATTAATCAATTAAACATTTCGGAAATTGTCAATTTCATGTTTGATACCAATTTTTTCACTGAATGTGCATTCTACAAGTTGTTTGTTCATCAATTTAATGGTGCAATAGAGTACAACAACAACAACAACCCAGTATAATCCCACTTAGTGGGGTCTGGGGAGGGTAGTGTGTACGCAAACCTTACCCTACCCTGGGGTAGAGAGGCTGTTTCCAAATAGACTCTCGGCATCTTTCCCTCCAAGAACATCCCACCTTACTCTTGGGGAGACTCGAACTCACAACCTCTTGGTTGGAAGTGAAGGTTGCTTACCATCAGAGCAACCCCTCTCGTCTATAGAGTATGTACAAGAAATACATCGCAAACTAAAAGTTTGTGGAGATCAATCATCCATTCCCATAAAAGCAGCCACTTCCTAAAGCAGGAAAAAAAAGGCAGCCCGGTGCACTAAGCTCCCGTTATGCGCGGGGTCCGAGGAAGGGATGGACCACAAGGGTTTATTGTACGCAGCCTTACCCTGCATTTCTGCAAGAGGCTGTTTCCACGGCTTGAACCTGTGACCTCCTGGTCACCGGCACCAACTTTACCGGTTACGCCAAGAATCCCCTTCTTCCTAAATTTTAGACCCTGAACATGCCACATATTTTTGTTAAAGGCACAAATTTAGATATAGAAAAAATGATTTCTACACATGTGTGAGCAAAGGTCTACATTATAAAAGATAAAATGTATATCTGACTCTGACAAACTACCTATGGTACCTTCTTCCGGTGCTGCTGGCGAATCAAAAGATTACATATGTTGGAACAGTACGTATGTATCTACAGGACAAGCATGTGGCCACAAAATTTTTAAGAATTAGGATCACTGACCTGGAACGCCCTCTTGCATTCATCAAGCAACATCTTAAGCTGATTAACCAATTGATACACCATATCTCGCCGATTCAAAACCAAACAAACTGTCATAAACCGAGCAAGAAACCGAAGTTGCTTGCTAGCAAGACTAACATCCTGAAACATTCCATCTTTAAAATACTCCCTAGTCAACACTGCCTCATAAAAGATATAAGACTCAGACAAATAGTTGGCCTCGCTTGTCCTCATGTACTGTCCAAAATAAAGCTGGCCAATCCGAGATGCAATATCCCCAATCTCCCATCTCTTGAGACCAGCTTCCACCAATTTCTGCCGATTCTCTTGTTGAAACTTCCACAGCTGTGTGTATACCTTGAAAACCTTGTAGAAGTATGTATCATATCTGATATTGCACAACCACCCAAATTAGAGACTGTGAAAAAGCCAAAACACTCTTTAAATGAATCAAAGTAGAAAACACTAAAACTGCACAGCATAGAAAAGGAAAAACTATCTCCACCTAGACCTTGTTGCTATAATGTAAAATGTTTTCCATGTGAAATTATTTTCTGGTGCTTGGTTGGGTAAGCCCATTGAAAATGTTTTTTTTTTTAAGACAAGTCATAGAACTACCGAAAACCTTTTCTTAGAAACATTTTTGTACGACAAATAGTGGGAAAAAACTTATATTGTAAGTGATTTTGCACTGCACTTATGCTCCATATATGTGGTCCTATCGACATGTAACCAGTATTTTCCTCTTTGCTACTTATAATTATCACTAAAAACTACGAGCATTCTGTTCCACATGTTAATGTCCAACCAAACATGGAAATGGAAAAATGATCAAGTAAAACATTGTTCCAAGGAAAAATAATTTAAAGTTACTCCAAATAAGGCCCTAATTATCTGAAGCTACTGCACTAAACTGTCAATAATAACTCCTAAATTCTACATTTAGTGTCATTATCTAATATACACAAGGTTGGTTGCTAAAACGGGTGATTCCCTCTTTTCCCCTTTCCTTTTTCTTTTTTTGGGTTAAATCATTCCATTGAATTATCATCAAAAATATATCAAATAATCATTTAAATAATGGGAACTTTTGAGAGAAATTGGAAACGAGTTAGACCTGTTACGTTGGTAGTAGGGCAAATCTCGAATTTTGGAGAACTTCTTATCGGCTTTAGCAACGAGGGTCCAATAAACTTCGCTCACTGGTATGTTATTGTTATTGCTACTGTTGCTGTTTTGCTGATGCTGGGACATCCTTCCAATTCTCTAATTACTTCCCCTTTAGATGATAGTCAATTGAATTAATGAGGAAAACATCGAACATTTGCTGCCATTGATTCTTCCTTCTTTATTTCTCTTTACTTTTCCTTTTGGGGGGTAAATATGTTTGAAGGTAAAGTCTTCAAATTGATGCTGTTTATTTTCTTTTCCGTTTTAGAGCCCCCTTTGGTGCCGAAAAAGTGCTGAACCTAATTTAAAAAATAACTAGCTACATGTTTGGATAAAAGTGTTGAAATTAATAATAAGCAACTGAATAACTGGGTATACAAAGAGTTTTTTTTTTAAAAAGAAGTATTTTAGGGATAAAATAGTAAATATTTTGTTCAAGCCTAAAGTACTTATAAGCTGAAATTTGATAAGTTAGGGGAGACCAATTTATGGCTTTTGGCTTATAAGCACTTAATTTATAAGCACTTTTAATTTTACCAAACGCGTAGATAAGCCAAAAAATATTTATAAGCCAGTTTGACCCGCTTATAACCAAACACTCTCTTAGTACTGGGATTTGCGAATATGATTTTGTTGTTTAACGGGATTGGGCCGCTGATAATAAGGCCGATTCTTGGGGGCTGAAGTGCATAAATAGCCACTTTAACGCCAATCTTTCCGTGCGATATGCACAAATAGCCACTAATAGCACCTGTCTTTATTTTAAATTCAGTGTTTTAAATGTCTTTAGGCTTTAGTTACTGGTTTAATAAACTTATACCTGACTGGACGAAAATACCTTTCTGCTATAACTTATACCTATGCTTTTATTAACGATCAGTAGCAGCAGCAGCGCACGTAACTAACTTCACTATGATCGTCGAATTTCAAAATATAGAATTGCAGAAGCTTCTCTTCCGATTTCAAACTATAAAATTCAACTTTCTCGTCCAAAAATCGACATAAATTTACAGTAAGTTATACTTTTATGTGTTTCTATTGATTTTTATTTCAACATAGTTATACTTTTTCCGATTTCTATTGATTTTTATACAGTAAGTAGAAATTTGATTATTTTTTTTGAATTTCTGGATTGATAAGGTTAAGGACATCGCGTCCTGTGATAATTCTATAAAAATTGAGCAAATAATATTAAGGACATAGTGTCCTGATTTTGGAAATTGAATTGAAAAAGTTAAGGACGCAATGTCCTTAACTTTTTTGATGTTCTTCTGTATATTAAGTACATAATGTTATAGTTTTGCAAATTATTTTGAAAAAGTTAAGGACACTTGGTCCTGAAGTTTGAGTTTCAAGTTGAAAAGTTCAGGACACTTGGTCCTGAATTTTGACTTACATGTTCAATAGTTAAGGACACTTGGTCCTGAACTTAGACTTACATGTTCAATAGTTAAGGACTTAACTTCAAAGTTCAAGTTCAATAGTTAAGGACATTTCGTTCTGAACTTTGACTTGCATGTTGAATAGTTAAGGACACTTGGTCCTTAACTTAGAGTTCCAAGTTAAAAAGTTAAGGACAGGGAGTCCTTAACTTCAAGTTTCAAGTTCAAAAGTTAAGGACACTTGGTCTTTAACTTTGAATTCCAATTTCAAAAGTTAAGGACACTTGTTCCTTTACTTACAATTCCAAGTTCATAACTTAAGGACACTCGGTCCTGAAATTTAAGTTACAAGCTCATAAGTTAAGGACACTTGATCCTGAAATTTGAATTCTAAGTTCAAAAGTTAAGGACACTTGATCCTGAAATTTGAATTCTAAGTTCAAAAGTTAAGGACACTTGGTCTTTAACTTGGTCATGAACTTACAGTACCTGTTCTTAATTATACAAGGATTGCTCTATAAAATATGTCCTGAGTTTCCCATTCTCTTGACTTGCAGGATGGAAACAATATGCATTATAGTTGTTTTTAATGGTAGATGGACTGAAGACTATAAGTATCTTGATCATCAAACAAAGCTTGTTCTAGTACCTGAGGCAATTCGATTTCAAGATTTCATTAAACAGATCTTTGAAGTTATTGAATTGGATAGAGACAAGTTCGAAGCAGTGATATGATTTGATATCAACCTTGGAACAAGCAAGGTAATACTTGTATCCAAAGATTTAGATCTTCACACGTGTATAAAGTTACTAAAAACTCATTCACTCTTCAAGGGGTGTCGTTTCATTGTTGATATTTCGAAAAGAGTTTTTGGATCAACAAGCAACTTTGAACATGTCAACAGAGAAACGCAACATGGCAATCAAAAAAATGCCAACAGATAATGGAAATAGATATGGTTGAAGCTCAACCAATAATTGAAGAGGTGTTTCAAACACATGTCTAAAGAGAAACTCAACATGACAATCAAAACAAATGCCAACAGATAATGAAAATAGATATGGTTGAAGCTCAACCAATAACTGAAGAGGTGCTTCAAACATTTGATTCTATTCAAGTAGAAGGACAAAGCATTATAGAGATTGACAACAAACAAGCTTTGGGTATTCAAGTCTTAGAGAGTGCACCGGTAATCGAAGAAGTTGCTGAAAAAAGAATCCCCAACTACGATATTAAGAGAAAATGCTTCGTTGGATGAAATAAAAGTGGGATCAGTATTTGACAAAAAGAAGAGTATAATTAATTATTTTTCGAATATAGCAATTAAAGGACATTTTGAATTCAAGGTTGTTAGATCAAGCTCAACAAGATATTCGTTGAAATGCAATGATGATAGGTGTGGATGGTGTGTGCGTGCTTTATGAATTAAAGATTCAACACTGTTCAAGATATTAAAGATTGAGAAAAATCATGACTGCTCTGTTAACACTATGAAAGCTGATCAAAGGCATGCAACTTCAAAGTTGATTAGTGGTTACATTATCGACAATCTTCGAGACCCAAGGTTTGAAGTTACACCAGCTTTTGTCATGGCAGAAATGCAGAAATACAAAAATTGCATGGACGAGACATTGGGTATCACAAGGTGTGGCATGCTATTTAACTTGCTTCCACTTTAATAAGAGGAACTCCTGAAGAGAATTATGAATTATTTNTGCGTGCTTTAAGAATTAAAGATTCAACACTGTTCAAGATATTAAAGATTGAGAAAAATCATGACTGCTCTGTTAACACTATGAAAGCTGATCAAAGGCATGCAACTTCAAAGTTGATTAGTGGTTACATTATCGACAATCTTCGAGACCCAAGGTTTGAAGTTACACCAGCTTTTGTCATGGCAGAAATGCAGAAATACAAAAATTGCATGGACGAGACATTGGGTATCACAAGGTGTGGCATGCTATTTAACTTGCTTCCACTTTAATAAGGGGAACTCCTGAAGAGAATTATGAATTATTTTCTTCATACTTGTATATGATGAGAAGTAAAAACCCGGGAACATATACTAACATAAAGATAGACGACAACAACAGGTAAACAATCAAAAAAAAAATTTATTAGTCCGTTTTATAAAATTTAGGACATGCTGTCTTTAACCAGTTAACTTTTGAGCTTGTAACCAGAAGTTCAGGACTGACTGTCCTTAACTTTTGAACTTGTAAGTCAAAGTTAAGGACTGCATGTCCTTAACTTTTGAACTTTGAACTCAAAGTTAAGGACTGCATGTCCTTAACTTTATAACTTGTAACTCTAAGTTAAGGACTGACTGTCCTTAACTTTTGACCTTGTAAGTCTAACTACAGGACTACTTATCCTTAACTTTTGGCCTTGTAATCTGAAGTTCAGGACTACCTGTCTTTAACTTCTGTTAACCTTGTTTTATACTGTATTTTCAGGTTTATTTATATGTTTTATGCATATGGATCATCAATATTTGGTTGGAATCATTGTAGACCTGTGATTGCTGTTGATGCAATTTTTTGAAGTCAAAATTTCGCGGTGTTTTAATGATTTCAGTTTCAAAGGATGCAAATAACCAAATTTTTCCACTAGCCTTTGGAATAGCATAATCTGAAAATAACAATTCCTATGAGTGCTACTTTAATCAGCTTCGCAATGCAATTGGGAGCCATGAGAATTTAATTTTTTTTATCAGACAGGCATCAAGCTATTGCACATGGCATTGCAAAGGTATATCCTGGAAACCATCATGGGATTTGTATCTATCATTTGGAGTAGAACCTAAAGCGAAGGAAAGTGAAAAGTGAGGTCATAAAACTTTTCCAAAGTGCTGCAAGAGTATACAGGCGCAAAGAATTTGATTTATACATGTCAGATATAGCAAAAGTAGATAAGAAGACTTATGACTACTTGATGGAAGAACCACCAGAAAGGTGGGTACGTTCTTGTAGTCCACAACGAAGATATGACATGCTCACAACAAACATAGTTGAGTCAATGAATTCTGTCCCATTAGAAGCAAGGGAGCTGCCTATATTAAGAATGATGGATTTCATTCAAGTGAAGCTACAACGTTGGTTTTATGAAAGAAGAAATAAAGCAGAAGGAAGTTTTTATGATGTTTCTTGTTGGGTAGAGGATGAATTGAAGAAAAAGATAAATTTAGCATTTACTTTGAATGTAAGTATTATGTTCTATGTTTAGGTTATGATTTTAATATAATTTAACATAATGTACTAACTTATAATTTTTCAATATTGAAGGTCTTCCCTGTTGATTCATGGCATTCTAGAGTTGAAGAAGCAGGAATAACTTTCTTGGTGGACTTAAACAAAAGAACATGTGATTGTTTTCAGTTTCAATTTGATGAATTACCATGCATACATGCAATTGCAGCTATCGAGATGAGAAACATCAAGAAGTCCAACTTTTGCTCGCACTGGTACTTAAAGGAATCTTGGCTGAAAACATATGAAAGACAAATATATCCTGTAGGACATACTGATTCTTGGATTGTACCAGAGAGTGTTAAGTCACAAATTGTTAAACCTCCATATTTCAAAGTGCCACCAGGTAGAAGGCAGAAGAAAAGGCATATTCCAGCTACCAAGTCATCAAAAAATAACATTCAAGTGTGGTCGTTGCAGAAGAATTGGTCATAATAGAACAACTTGTATATATTCTCCGGCAGTCCATCCATTTTCAAGAAAGCATAGAGAATAGTAGATATATTCACTTACGTTTATCGACTCTTTTAAGTTTTTGCTATAAATTGGATTCATTTAGATTATTCTTATTTGAGTAGATGTCTGAATTTTTAAAAGTTCTTTCTGCTTACGTTCTTTTTATTTCTTTTGAGTTTAAAGTTCAAAAGTTAAGGATAGGAGTCCTTAAGTTTGACTTACAGGTTCAAAAGTTAAGGACATGCAGTCCTTAAGTTTGAATTACAGGTTCAAAAGTTAAGGACAGACAGTCATTAACTTAGAGTTCAAAGTTCAAAAGTTAAGGACTGTCTGTCCTTAAATTTGAGTTTCAAGTTCAAAAGTTAAGGACATGAGTCCTTAAGTATGACTTGAAGGTTCAAAAGTTAAGGATAGGCAGTCCTTAAGTTTGAATTACAGGTTCAAAAGTTAAGGACAGACAGGTTCAGAAGTTAAGGACAAGTTGTCCTTAAGTTTGACTTGGAGGTTCAAAAGTTAAGGACAAGCAATCCTTAAGTTTGAGTTACAAGTTGAAAAGTTAAGGACACTTGGTCCAGAAGTTTCAGTTTCAAGTTCAAAAGTTAAGGACACATGGTCCTGAACTTTGACTTACAAGTTCAAAAGTTAAGGACACATGGTCCTGAACTTTGACTTACAAGTTCAAAAGTTAAGGACATTTGGCCCTTAACTTTGAATTTGAAGTTCAATTACACTTAGTCATGAACTAATACTAACAAGCTCAATGGACAAATCAATACTAGACAGAAACAAGGAAATTAATAACATGATGCCTTCATATTACTTCTGAAATTGTAATTTTGCATAGCTGTGACAAAAAATTATGCTATGCCAACAAAATAAAAGTGCCTTTTGAGGAATTTACAGGATATTTCAGAATTCATATGGATTCTTTGCAGCAATTTTATACAAAATATCAACCACAACTAACTTTCTTTACAACTAAACTACAACTCCTTCGGACAACAAGTTTCATTTTCACTATCATTGTCATCGCCAACAATTTCTGGTAGTGTATCATAACCAAAATTTCTTTTTCACTCACCATGTGCCCAAAGATTTACGGCAAGTTCTTTTCTAAAGTCTTTTATGTCTTCAGGTTGGAATTTCTCCACATCCTTTCCAATCATCAACAACTTCACATACTTAATAAGGAATGCACCACAATTAGTCCTAAGAAAAATGTAAGATATGGAGTCAATTAAACAATAAATCTAAAGTACATATAAATTATATAACAAATAACAACACGTACGATCCAGTTTGGTTTGGTGATCTTTGCTACTGAATATCAAATTTGTTGAATGCATTTCCAAAAGACTTGTGATGTTTGTCAAACTATGAGAACTTTAGCAAGTGGGGGATCATGCGTGCATACATTTCAATGTGATTCATCCGTGCCTCATATGACTTACTATATATGGAATAGTACACATCAATCTTTTTCGCATTCAAGTCCAATACCCCTAAAAGAAAATGTGTCACAACATTATCATCTTCTGAAAGAAGCCGACATAGAAAAATAATTTTGTCAACCTCTGTCCAAGTAATTCCACATCTACGACTGTCGCCCCATACATATGGTGTCAGAAACAATTGATTATCACCAGACCAAAACTCATCTGTAGCATTTTCATTGAAATCCTTATACACGAGCACTATATAGTTATCAAAAAGTATATCTATAGTTGTGCAACGAAAAAGATAGTCGCGAGGGTGGTAGCATTCCTTCTTTCTCAGATAATATAGGGAAATGTCTATATGCTTCATAAAAAGGCAAAAAATAAAATAAATCCATCAGTCATAAAATAATTAAAAATGATAAATTAAGAATAAAGAAAATAAATGCCTTTCGAATTATCAAACCTTATCATTAAGTACAAAGCCACTATCTGAAAGCTCAAAGAAGAACATTTTACTACTGATTTTTTGATGATACAATTTGTATGGATTCTTTCTCACACCATTATCATCAGCATATATATCAGCTTGTCCCCTGAAAATTTTGAAAATATCAAAGTTCGAAGTTAGTCCTAAACTTAGCCTTTCAAGTTGAAAAGTAAAGGACACTTGGTCATGAAATTTGAGTTTCAAGTTCAAAAGTTAAGGACACTTGGTCCTGAAGTTTGAGTTTCAAGTTCAAAAGTTAAGGACACATGGTCCTGAACTTAGACTTACAAGTTCAATGTTCAGGACACTTTGTCCTTAACTTAGACTAACAAGTATAAAAGTTAAGGACAAGTAGTCCTTAACTTATAGTTCCAACTTCAAAAGTTAAGGACACTTGGTCCTGAACTTCAAGTTTCAAGTTCACACATGGTCATGAACTTAGACTTTCAACTTCAAAAGTTGAGGATACTTGGTCCTGAACTTAAACTTATAAGTTCAAAAGTTAAGGACATATGGTCCTGAACTTTGACCTACAAGTTTAAAAGTTTAGGACACTTGGTCATGAATTTTGAATTCCAAGTTGAAAAGTTAAGGACACTTGGTCCTTAACTTTGATTTTCAAATTCAAAAGTTAAGGACATATGGTCCTGAACTTTGACCTACAAGTTTAAAAGTTTAGGACACTTGGTCATGAATTTTGAATTCCAAGTTGAAAAGTTAAGGACACTTGGTCCTTAACTTTGATTTTCAAATTCAAAAGTTAAGGACACTTAGTCCTAAACTTAGACTTACAATCACAGAAGTTAATGACACTTAACTTTAGCAATTTCAATATCAATACACTTAGTCATAAATTTAAAATTACAAGTTAAGGACACGAATTTAAGTAATTAACAAATAATGAAATACATTAAGGGACTTACTGTTTTTTGCGACCTTTCCTTTTCTCCTTGCCCAACCACATAATGAATTTCTTCAATAATTTTGCATCATCTTTGGCATAATGAAAAATACATCTACGAGTATATGTTGATTTTATCCAGTCTGAACTCTTGGGAGTATTTTCATTGTGTGCGATCGATGTTCCTGTTTTTCTTTCCTGATCAAAAAGAGATTTCAACTGCCAACTAAGCTTCTTATTCCTTTTACCTCGACCAAGCTCTTCTTCAACATTTCCTTCAACCTCCATAGACAAACCCCCATCAATTCTCATTTGTGTACTTGGAGGAGTAGGAGTAAGAATAGAAAATAACGGACCATCATAACCAGTACTATCTCTCTTTCTTTTCCTAGTATATTGGTTAATAGCTTCATCATTATTTTCCTCTGCAGACAACACTATATATATATATATGCTAGTCGTCAAATGAAGAGACAAAAACTAAGAACATTATTTTTAAATATACTGTCATTTTCAATTATGAATATGATATTTAGGACACAATCAATATCTGTCTTGTTCACACTACCTTCTTGTATTTTTTCAACAGACAATTGAGCTGACATATTGGTTGCATCATTTTCTTTATCTTCCAACTGCACATTTTCTTTATTTTTGCAACTGTTCTCCATGTTCTTCAGTTGCAAGTTTACAAGATTCTGCAAAATATTTACAAGACCTAACACAATTAGTACTTGTTACTAATCTTTGATTAAAATAAACATGTATAAAATTAAAAAAAACATTGTCTAACCGTCTGCAATTGTCAAGATCATCCCAGTTAAATCGTATCTTTACTAGCATTTTCTTGGCTTCCAATATTGTCAGTAAGAGAGCGAGGTGTAGAAAGATCACATGTCACGTCTATGCATTTGGAAACAATCTCACTTATGCTTGTTCCTTCGGTATTTTCTAGGTCTTGAGATTGCACTCCACTTTTCTCTTGATACTCCAATCCAGCTTCTTCCCTTGCAGCCTCAAAAGATTCTGTAACATTTGCAATTAATACCCATTCTATTAGTTCACTAAAACTAACATTCAACATATCATGAAAATTTCATCTAACCTTGATTGGCACAATTTTGAACTCCAAATTTCTCTTTATATGAGAGAGATGTAGACATATCATATGTTCCTTCTAAACATTTGCATATAATCTCACTGATACTTGTTCCCAATAGACTTTCTAAATCCTGAGATTGCAATCCACATTTACAAATTTTTTCTGTTACTCCTGTCTCTTTTGAATTTTCCTGGTCTTGGCATTCTACTACATATTGAACTTCTACTCCATCAATAGATTCTACAAATATTTGTTATCACAAAATTTTTTATATGTATTACACTATTGAATATAAATTTCAATGAAAAAAATTCAAAATCTATATCTAACCTTTCCTAATTTCAATGACGTTATCAGTTTCATCATCTAGATGTGCATCTCTAAAATCGCTTTCAGACTGAACTTCTGTATGCACATCCATATCATCATGTTCATCACCACCTGCATCTTTGTTAATTGTAACAGTATGCTCTGTACTATGACAATGATCATCAACTCCATCTTTAGTAATTGGAATGCTAGATTCTCTCTCTATGTTCCTTTAATAAGGTTTCACATAAATCTTCAACAAAGTATCAATCTTTGATCCTAGACTTTTCTTTAAATCCTGTGAAAGAAAATAAGTTAGAAAGTTAAGGACAGGTAGTCCTAAACTTCAAGTTACAAGTAAAGAAGTTAAGGACAGGCAGTCCTTAACTTAGAGTAACTAGTTCAAAAGTTAAGGACATGCAGTCCTTAACTTTGAATTCCAAGTTCAAAAGTTAAGGACACTTGGTCCTGAACTTCAAGTTTCAAATTGAAAAGTTAAGGACACTTGGTCCTGGACTTCAAGTTTCAAGTTCAAAAGTTCAGGACAGATGGTCCTGAACTTAGACTTACAGGTTCAAAAGTTAAGGACACTTGGTCCTAAACTTCAAGTTTTAAGTTCAAAAGTTAAGGACAGACAGTCATTAACTTATAGTTACAAGATCAAAAGTTAAGGACAATATGTCATTAACTTCAAGTTTCAAGTTCAAAAGTTAAGGACAGGTAGTCCTTAACTTTGAATTC